CAGTAGTAGTACCGTTATTATTATTATTGTTGTTGTTATTATTATTATTGTTATCGTTATTATTATTATTATCATACAGCGGTACAACACCCAATGAGAGGACATGGACGCAAGCGTCCGTACAGGCAGCTCCCGAAGAGGTAACGCATATACAGCGAAAGTGCGACGTTTGGTAATTGGAGGCCTGGGAAAGATATGCTGATTTCCCGGAAGCGTCTCAGCAAAATTACTAACGTGGATTACCTATTTGGGCGATCATGGTATTCTTGGTGTTGTAAATTATCAGTACCTAACTTCAAAAACGTCAATCGAAAAACCCAAAAAATTCAAAACAACACATTCAGGTGGATATGCCAAGTTTAAAAAGAAATCAAACAGCAGAATCCGGACATTTTAAATTAAGGAATCTCTTATTGTGGAAAGAAGTGGATTTAGGAATTTAAAAATTAAATAAAACTGGAAAGGAAAGATACTGAAGTTGAGAGCGAGAAATTTGCACTTAAGTGCATGGATCAACGAAAGAAAGAGAAGCAAAAGGAAAGGAACTATGGGGCTTTATCAGTCCTGGAATTCTCTACCATTTTAATTTGATAATTTCGTGCTCTTTGAATAACTTCTAGCGCCTTTCCTTCCTAGCCTCACCGCAGATTCGTCTGTAGCAACTGTCACATTTCCAAGAAAAGTTTTTTTTAGAAAAATTTTGAATAGAGAAGAATAAATCAAACCTCAATATCCCTGATTTTCTCCATTTCAGTAAGCGAATTCATCAGTTGCTCGTGCAGAGCTTCAAACTGTTCCAGCAGTGCTGTTTTATCTTCACTCATACACTGCAAAAATAACTTTCAAGGATTTTGTCCCCTCCGAGAAACACACACTGCAAAAATAAACAACTTTCAGGGATTTTTTCCCCTTCGAGGATTTTGCCCTTTCCTAACTTTACAGTTCGTACTTACAGAGCCAAGTCCAGCAAATAACATTTTTCCGTAGGCGTTCTTTTTTTCGATACTTTCAAGACTTCTGCCTACCCATCTTTTAACCGCCTTTGACGTTTTTGACTCTTCATAAAAACGTGCAAATTTCCAAAACTTATAAGTTCAAAATCAGGAGGAATTAAACAAATCTTGGGGTAATTTATCTAGCTGAGGTTCCCTTCTAAGGTCACTACAACTCTTCACATCTCAGTGAGGGCCACAGACTAGATTTAGACTCAAATAAAAATTGAAGCAGAAAGAAGTCGCAAAAGGCTTTTTGGAGGGCATGACTCCTGGCCCCACAGAATCCGAAACAATTTTAGCATACGAATTTCTTTGTTCAAGTAACTATAGCCTTAAAATCAGTAGAATCAGAAAATAAACAAGTCAAAACTCGCGCCGCATTCACTTCCCATGGGAGGTGGGAACATTCAGAAGTAGCCAAACTGATGGCAAGTGCCAATAGCAAACACACGTTGGCAAAATCGTCAATTATGTCCTCTTTCGAGAGTTGCTTAAAAGTTGATGGCAGGCTTGACCGCTTGACATGCACCACTAACAACTTATCATCGAAACGAATGAACGAATTATACAAGGAATGGTTGTATTACTGGCTCAGTCGAACTTCCGATCTCCGGCACAAGAACAGTGGTTACTTGTTTCTGCACCATACTCACCAGTTAAATGTGGAAAAAAATGGCGCAATTAAACACCGAAAAGAGCATAAATAATCTAGGATTACACATGAAAAAATGAAAAATATGTGAGCCTAAGTGTCCGAGGAGGAGGGAATAACTATCAAATTACTTTTGCTGCATCAATCCAGGAGCGTAAATCG